AACAGCCTTCATACATGATCTACTGCTCTTTTAATACCCAGGTTTCAAATACTGCTTGCTCTACCAGTTTTCATGTGCTTTGATGTGTGATAGCTAAGACTTTATCAATATCATTCAGGCTACCAAGCAAAATGAGAACACTGGGTATGCAAGATAGAGAAATGATGAAGTAACACTGTTAATTTGTGCATAATCTGATGGGATTCGAGTCATCATTACAAAACGCCTTCTAGGTCTTTGAATACTTAAAAATAAATCCCTGCCTGTGCTTAAAAAAGCCGGTAAGGGGCCATGCTCAGCAGCAAGAGCACATTCTTCCCCACAACTASTGTTCTGCACGCAGACCTCCAAACGGCTCCTCATAAGGAGGAAGGAACAACCCTTTGGAAGGGACAGACTCATGCCCTTTGCTTCTGCTCTTATCAAGGGGTTTAATCTGTTCCCTTCTGTTCCCGTTTTAGAGAGCGCGCGTTCGTACCAGCCAGACTTGCTGCCAGGGGAATTTATGGCAGCCCAGGCTAAATGAGAACATGGCACTCGAGCAGTGGACGGACGAAGGTAACAAACCTGCCCCGAGGGTTCAGCTGCTGCTCGTCTCCTCCAGGATGGCTGAAGGGAAACAGTTACGTGAGAACGGGGYAACTGGCGACTGGCAGTGTTAAAATGCTGCTTTTCTGACAGCTCTTACGTGGGAAAAAATGCTTTGCTGGACAGACCGCTAAGCCCGGGAGCTGCTGCTCCTTGTCTGCTCTYGGCCCAGCACAGCACTAGCCCCCCGTGTTTCAGAAGGAACCCCCCACCTGAGCCCAGGATGCAGGACAGGGCCCAACTGGAGCTTGTTTTTTAACCAGCCCTTTAAAAGCTGCCCTGCAGTATCCACACAGCAAACGTATTTATGTTGCTGGCCCAATGTGCCTGTTTCCCAAGCCTGGGAAAAGCTGCRTTCCCTCCCGAACCCAGGCTCCCCTGCCATACGTTGATAAACTGCCCTGAGGGCTGTGAGATGGGTTGCAGCTGTGCGGGCGGGTAGGCATTTAACTCACCTCAGCCTGAGGAAAACACAAATTCTGCATCTAAGCTTCTCCCTGCAGCCCTTTGCTGAGAGGGCTAAACTGCTCCCTCCAGAAGGCTGTTCAGCTGCCCCAGCCCATCTCCGCTGAGCAGAGCAGCGTGAGAGGGCAGCTGGTTTCAGTGGTTTCAGGAGGCGCTGGGCTGCAGCTGCTTCCTTGCACTGACACAGCTGTCCTCCTTGCCCCTCGTAAAGCAAGAAAAAGCACCACAGAAAACTGCAGCCCACCTCCAAAGGGTGAATCACTTTGCCAAAGCACATGGCTGTAACAGGACATGCCCAAGCCCCACTGCACCAAGCCTAGCGCAGAACCAACAGTTCTTKGAGGAACAGACACAGGCAAAGCGAGGGGTTTACAGAGGTACCACCAGGTAAGGTAACCTAAGGGCCTCAGTCACGTGTGGGGAGTGCCCCATAGCAGCAGAGGTACTGGATGGCAAASACACWTTAAGAGCTGCTGAGCTTAAGGAGGGACCCCGCTCCAAGTGCAGTGAGGCAAATGAAGCRTCGGAGGAAGACGAGAAGTTTATTGGACTGCTTTTGTGTTGAGTGCCTCAACCTAYTGCAAATAGTTATGACAGGAACTCACACAGGAGCAGAGCAACATTTTGGGGACCCCAGGGATGCACTTGCACAAAATCTCTGTAATTCTTCTCTTCTGGACACCAAGATGAGGGACAAAGTCTCCAGAGACCGAGGCAGAGCCATGTAACTAGGACAGCTCCCCATAGCTGTTCTTGGAACTCTGGCACTAAGTTATATAGAGGGGAAAAAGAAATTTCCGTATAGCTCCACAGCCTCCCTTTCCTGAACGTGGCCTATTTAGGGTGTAAACACAGCTGAGAAACGAGGGAAGGAGGAAACCCGCCCCTGCCTCGCTCTTTACCAAGGGCTCCGCACACCTCGGCCCTTCCTACACGCTGCCGAGGAAAGATGAGCTGSTTTCCCAACTCCGACTGTTAGACCTTTTATGGGTATAACATCTGGAAACATAAGGAACAAGCCTCAACAGCACATGGCTTTTAAGCTATTAAAATAGGCAGACAGCATTAAAAATGAGTAAAATAAACAGTTACTGGCTTCCTCCCCCCTACTTAACCAGCAACATGAACTTTGAAGCTTAGCATCACTTACACTTACTCTGTGATACATGGTTTCTTAGGATCAAACCCTTAGTTCTGAACTTGGCACCTCTTAAACTATACCATACAATAACAGCAACATACTAGTGTAAAATGTTAAGACGGTCACGTAATTTGTTTTTCCTCAGCAAGGTGGGTAGGAGGGTGGAACATGCAACAGAACTGCATATAAATGCAGATTTATATGCAACAGAACTGCATATAAATCTCCAATCTGATTTGCTTTCTGTTAAGACCCTGGAATGAGCTCAGTCCTAACTCCCCTGTCTCCAATGTTCCCAAGAAGTGAACATGACAAAAACCTCCCCCAAATGCCTGCGAGTGTGCAAAGCTTCACCTCTGCAGAGCTGGGCTTTGCAAGAGCTCCATATTCCAAGCAAAACTGCTGATAAAGATTGCATCTTAAAATAAGTTAGCTCTAAGTACACTGATTTGCTGTATCAGGGATATTTTGCTACTCTTCGACACCTCTCTACACTCCTGGTTTCAGGTACAAGATAAAMTATGAAAAAAACTGAGGGAACCTAGAGCAGCAGTGAAATCCAAGAACAAACCAGCTGCCTGTGCTGCAGCCAAGCATTCTTCCTCACGTTTTTCATCTCAGGATTTCTGAAGTGGTTAAAAAAAGAAAAAAAAAAAAAAAAAAGTTTAATTACTTCCAATCCAAAGGTGCTTGTGCCAAAAGCCCAAAGCCCGAGCGCGTTCCCGGCCAGGTTTTCCTTGCTCCCTGCCGTGCTCATGCAGCTCCTCASCCAGGTCTGCTGATGGGGCTGCTGCTTCTCCAGGCTGAGCTCAAACCCAGGGCACACGAGCGTGCCACACTTCACTCTGCAACCTGGACAAACGCTGAGAACTACAGCTACACCCTCGCAGAGCTACTCGGAAGGATCAACGTGCACCGAGCCTGTCGGCATGTACAYGCCAAGCTGCTTTTGAAGTTCAGTAATAGATCTGCTGGGAAAAAGAAATACGTATCGATGGCTTAAAACTGGGTTAACYGAGATTTTAACTGCCACTTAATGGAGCAAAATCAACTGTCCTTGACTCACTTTGCTTTTGGGCTAATTCCAGCTCCACATAAATGGAAACAATATTCTCAGTGTGGCCACCAAAAATGCAGTGCCAAAAAAGTTTTTTAGTGATTCTTATCCATTGCTACTCAACTCCCTCTGGAAAACCTTTGAAAATGCTCTCCAAAACATTTTCACCTCCAGCCTTCAAGGAATCCAAACTCCATACAGGACTTTTGAGCAATACCCTTGCAGCCAACATTCCCCGCCTTGAGGAACAAGTCAGCCATAGGAAGGAGCCCTTCACATTAAAGTCATCCCGTCAGAAATTCACTCCGAAGCGCTCCGATTAGGCAAAGACGCCACTCTGAAGCTGAAGACAGAACAAGCAGCAGATAAAAAAATCCCCTGATGATGAATGCAGCCTCATTTCTCTGCAGGCACCAATCACACATGCCATAGCTATGATACATAAGCACCCATGGGGGCATTATATTTAACCTGGCAGAAGACTCTTCATAAAGCATTAATTTGGAGCAGCACAGGAGTGACGGGGTGCTACCATGACATCACTCTTTATTTATAGCAGCTCTTAAGTGTCCCAAAGGGTAGGAGCGGCTAAGGTGCAGAGACAATCAGACTGGCCAGCATCTTCTACTCCACTCTGAGATTATCTGAGATTATGATTGAGAGACACGTTTTTATCAAGGAAGAACAACAATCTGGAAGCCACCACAGGAGATGCCATGAGGATGCTGGAATTTGAGTAGTGGTCACCTACATCAACCGTGTTTGACTTTCCTGTGCTGACAAATGGACAGGAACAAAGCTCTGGAGTGGGGTACGGCAGAAATGAAAGCTCCTGTTTGTCTTTATCTTCAGCACAAAGGACTTGCAGTGATGATCTAGTAGACATTTTCCATTTCTAAAATTCTGCAATACAGCAGAAATACTCCACTGTTGGGGGAAGGCAGGTTTGAGGGAAGCAGAGAGCCTACCTGGATACTGTGCCTGCATGCCCAGTTCTGAACCTGCATCTCGCTGCTCTGGAAGTATTGAAAGTTCACCGAGAGCTAAASACAGGGTTTCTCTGACACCACAGTCATCAATCACACTGCAGGCAGAACTTTTCTCCATGTAGCTGACCCGTACAGACCCGTATGATACAGGGCTTCGGCGTGACCAAGAACTGACAGCAAGTTAAATTAAGGAAGGAGCACCATTTAATCAAAAGATGGCTTTAAACTGCTCCAAGCCCCCAGATCAGATAATCCAAGTCATCTGAAAACCAGTAACTCCCTAGAGCGCAGGGCTCTGGAGCTGCCATGCACCAAGTTTTCAGTAACTCTCAGGTATTCAGAGCTACAGTCCTCGAGCCCTGCAATTTTACGAGTCATCTGTAATACGTTAAATCAGGAGTTTCTTACCCATTACATAACCAACATGCTTCCACAACAGGAATATATGCAAATCTCAAGGATTTCCCATCCTCTGTAGAATTAGACAAGACTTCCATCCACCTCCCTTTGTTGACCTACAACTCTGGCCCAGCCCACACTTGCTAGGAAATAAAGTTTTCATCTAAACACTTAGATTTAAGTTTATTCATACACAGCAAAGTTCCACCTGCATATTAAAAACAAACAGGTTAGAAGTAAATGTTTTATTCTTCCAACTAAATTCCAGTACTACAAGGGCAGTAAAACAATGATACACTGAAAAATTGCAGCAATAAACATTTGTTAAAGACTGAGAGAATAAATAAAAACTACAAAAATGAGAAATCATATAAACCCATTCTTAACCCCCAAAAAAGTCATGGAATACAGAAATGCCCTCCTTCACTATTTCACAGGCAGTACTGTGGGCTATTTGCTTAAAATTGTCCTGGGATTACATTCTAATTCAACTGTGATTACAGCCTTGTTGTAGTGCACAGTTATGAAAACCACACTAACTTCAGTCAGAAGTGTCATTCTACATTTTTATTTACACAACCAGTGAAGGGCAACTTCTAGAACACCAGCTTTAATCCTTTACTTTTTCAAACTTATTAACATAAGAAGCCAAATTGTAATGATACAGCAAATGAGGCCACTGGTATTATTACAGGTAGCAAAGGTCCACATCCAGGTGGTACTGACATCAGGGAGCACTCCAAAACCAGTTGCTGCATAAGAGTGGTTGCCACTGACAAAAGCTTGAAATAACCTGTGTTCACAGGGGGAGAAATATGGCATTGCTGCAAGTCTTTACTGGGACAGCTTGCAACAATCAGAGAGGGTGGATAGGGCAGCCCACATATGCAGAAAACGTGATTCATGAAACGTCTGAAAATAGAAGAAAAAACATGTTAGTGAGGAAATCAGTAAAAGGCACGTCTAAGCCAAATCTTCTAGGACAATGTTTAGAATTGCTTCAAAAGCAAAACCCATCATTTTACAGGCGAAGGGTCTGGAAACATTTAAACAGGGGCTGCATTTCAATCCAACACCACTGTCCTTTCAACCCAAGCTTTCCAAATTGTCAACTGAGGAGGCTTTTAGGGGCCCAGCTGCAGCTGAGCCGCAGAGGAGCCGTGTACCCGGGGCGGCCACAGGCGGCGGGCGCTACTCACAGCTGGCCGGCTGTTCTCCGTATCGTCGCATGATCTGGTCATGCGTGAACTTCACAAACGCGTCGTATTGCTCTGCAAGGAAGCAGCGGGACAGCCGTCAGGCTGGAGAACATTCACAGCTACCTTTTATACCCTATACAGCTCACCCGCTAAGCACACGCCCACTAATGGCATTTTAAGCAGACAGTTCAGCGCTGGCGTTTCTTTACGTGCACAAGAACACCGCAGCACATGTCCCCTTAATTAAAAGGTGTTCTCTTAGAAATGCCTGTAACAAAAGCCACCCTCAAAAGATAAAACGCTGCACGTGATGCAGAGCTCTCAACAYGCCTGGCATCTACTGAGCTTCAGACAGCGCGCTCTGAACCGATCACGGGCCCCCAACTTACAGGCRTGTAACAGGCGCAGGGCAGATAAGCAGGCGGGACCTTAAGGGCAGCGCTACTTGGCGTGGAAATAAAATTCTCCCTGCTCTAGTAGCTACAAAATGTARGAAATTTAATTAAGTGAAATGGCAACACAGAAATACTGGAGAGGGATTTGCCAGAGTGAAAGATTCTTTGGGTGACTGCCACATATGAAAGCAGAAGAACCCAAAAGGAAGAAAGGCTGCATCACTACTTGACTAATTTCAGTCACAAAAGTAGCCACAGTAGGAGGGACATAATTGACTCTGGACTTCATGAAAACAGCTGTCGTGTAGTCTGAAATGAAATTTAGACGTGAAAACTCTTCATCTGGCTTTGAATTAAAAGCTATTATTTCCCACAAGGATTGCTATTCCCATACAACACATACAAACAGAAGGAACATTCACAGTGCTTTACTTAGCTTTAATACTGYGCTCATCAGCAGGATATCACCTCTCAGAATTAGGAAAGCGAACAAGGAGAATAATATCCACCAGATGCCGTTCCCCTCCAATCCCAGCCTCCCGTGTGGGAAAACACCCGTGCAGCAAAGCGGGGTGTCCGGGACAAGGCCGTGAGGGCTGCAGTGCTCCCTAGGCCCGCGCACCTGCCCCGCCAAGYGCCCATCCTCCTGCAGGGACAGGGCACCAGCGCGACAGGAGCCCAGGCTGGGCCCCAACTCTGCGAGTGGGGCACGTCCCCAGGCCCGAGCAGCCCCTCTGCCCACGGGCACAACCTGCTCAGGGCAGCTGACCCCGAGGGCTCTCCCGCAGCCGTGGCGCTCSGAGCAGAACCACCACCAAGTAACAGGCTGGGGGACGGGGTGCCCTGAAGCCATTCCCAAGAATAACAGCAACTAAAGCTTCTCCTAAAAGCAGGGATGAAAGGCCGGAAACCAATCTGCAAGCTCTTCTTTCAAGGCGCAAGTGAAAACACACAGCTGCTTTGTAGGATCTTTGTTTAAAATTGGCTTTGAAAGTGAAAAAAAAATCCATTGTTGCTAAAAATCTATTTTTATGTGTTCAGTTTTGGAAAGTTAATCCAATCCTAAGAGAAAGCTACACGAACTGCTGCGAATATAAGTGAGCACTTGTAAAGCTACTTACACCGCTGGCATCCCATACTGTCCACATTCCAACGACCTCTAAACCAAAAGATGACTACCTACCACGTACACAAACATCATCACTGTGCCCTATGACTTGAACTCTACTACTGAAGSCCTTTATTGTTACAAGCAGATCCTAGAACAGCACGGGAGCTGAAGCTTCGCAGGGCCTCTCACCCTCCTCTGGTATTAAAACCTACAAGGGATTTTTCGCAACCAACTTAATGCTAACACAGTGGTTTCACACAGCACAGGCCTAAGGGGAAATAAGGGCACCACACTGACTGGTGTTTTCCGTTCAAACACTCACTCCATATACAAAGCAACTCTGCTAAAAAAGGACGGGGGGGAGGAGGGGAAAAAAAAAAAAAAAAAAAAAAAAAAAAGAGGTCTCTGGCAAGCTACAGGAAACTCCAACGTCAGCAAGGAATGGGCAGGACAGCAGAGACCCAAGCACAGAGCTACTTCTCTTGGAAGAAGCCATTCACTTCAATCTCATTGCAGAACTTGCAGTTATATTTCCAATGACTTCACTCTTCTGTAAGAACCAGTATCATCCTACTGTGCATAGTTCAGAAAAGAATATAACCATTCTGTCAGCAGAAAAACATAAGTGGCCTTCTATTTGAGGAATTATCCCAAATTCTTTTGGCAGTTTCTTTCTAACTTACCACACACTGCTGAAAACCTACTCTATGATGGATATATGGGATGTAATAACTATCTTTTTTAATAACTCTTTTTGGTGACCACTGCCCCCACAACCAGCAAATGCAGCCTTGTGCCACTGTAACAACAACAGGAAAAGAAAAACTCCTTTTCTTCTTCTTCCCCTCTCCCCCAGCAAAAAAAAAGCTCCCTTTGGCCTAAGAAGGAGCACACTAGGAACCTGCTGTTGTGAAGGGATTTGTACTTGGGAAGCATCTGGGACAAATTCATGAGCTAGGGGAGGATATTTCTGTGATCACCACTCCTGGAGAACGGAGCCCGGACGCTCCCGAGCACCCCCTGGCCGGACACAAGCCCTCTCCTTCCTGAAGGGGCTGGCAAGCTCTAATCTCATGTGGTTTGGGGTGGGAAGCAAAATGGCAGAGTRTATTCAAGAGTCTCTTTGCTGCCACGGAGTTCATTCGCTTTTCTTAGTCACATTAACTATTAAATTAAATGCTGAATTGTCCCACCTCTGCACGCACCAGATTGTAGGTGCTCGTATCTTAGAAAGATGCTTAGAAGCAAAAGCCATAAACACCTTTTCCTTTAACAATCAGGCCACACGTACACCACCAAATCTGCTGCAGGGTGAGTTGGCATCAAGCACAAAAATACCAGCTGAATTGCCTGAAATACAGTAATTTGAAATACAGCTAAGTCCTGGCACTGCAGCAGCCCCGTCACCACTGGCAGCAGTGCAATGCAAGCGCTGGGAAGAGAAAAGGAAATCTTAGGTACTGTCCTCATGCCAAATTCCAGAAAAAGGAAGTCAGTCCCCAAGCAGGGGGGAGAAAAAAAGTCCTTCACAAAGAGCTCTTAAGTCAGTAAAATAGAAAGTCTTTCTGACAAAAAAAAATGAGGAGGAAATGGTCAATTCAAACATGACAGCAAGAGAAAGTTCTATCTGAAATAAAACCTCTGTTTCCACTGATTAGTAATACTGAAGAGTCACAGTTTCTACCCAAGGCAGCACAGAAGAGAATACCCCATCAAAGAAACTACACACGGGTTTTCTGTCCCGTGTTCAATCTCATTTCTTAATCATATTAGGTCAGGAAAAAACAAACAAAAAACCCAAAGAATAACACTAGGATGAGAAAAAGATTTCTGCTTCCAAATTAATTGTAACAAGAAGTACCTGCAAGTTTTGTGGTCAAAATTTCTTCATACTCTTCACGGATTTTCTCTTCACGTTCTTTCAGCAAACGTTCACAGATCATTCCAACTTGTCTGAGAGTAAACAGAGGCTGTTCTTTTTTCAATGGTGATGATGCTGCAGATGAAGTACCTGAGATTAAGTAGTTAATTGTTATGCTTGACTATTCTGAAGTAGTTTAGGCATATTTTTTTTAAAGATCTACTTTCTTGACCTTTTCTATGAATGGAATTTCCCAAAACATTTGGGAAACAGTTTCTGCCACATGAACACTTAGTAAATATTGGACATTCAAAAGGAATGTAATGGATGATACGCCTGAGTGTTTATACCAAGCGTATTAAACATGATAATAAGAAAAAAATCCCACATACACACAGAAAAACAAACCCTGTACCCTACTTACAAATTCAGGCTTCTGTTTTTAGCAAAATCTGCTGTAAAATATTTTGCAAATATTACAGCTTGACAAAAGTCTCCTGTAAGATCTCTGGCAGAAATGGTTTCTTAGAAGTTATAAACTTTGTGCCCTGCTATTTCTCACAGTGAGAAGGTAGAATTTTGGGGATGGAAAAGCTGGTATTGCCAAAAATACAACACTGAGCAGGGAGAATACATGAAAATACAAGAAAGACCATATAAACTAGGGAAAATTATTTACTCAGAGTCCAAGAACACACACCAAAATTGCAAAGAATTTTTGAGGCACCTGGCAAAGCTGGTCCAGTGAGAAGAAATGCATGTGGCTGTGCATCAGTAGAACAACAAGGATCTGTCTGCTGAAAGCTATTTTCTAAGTGTCTCCTCTTCTGCATGCGTTTGTACTCCTGTTTTATGTTGTACAGAATTTGTTCTAAAATACAAACAACAAAAATTAAGCATGAGATCATTACACTTCAGCATCTCAGTGTAGTTTATTTCCTTTTAAAGCATGAAATATTGTTGATAATTAACAGATTGTAAGTCAGGCTGTTAAAATACAACCAGTAGAAACCACCAGTTTTATGCAAGACAAAGGCCAAATAACTGAACTGAACAAAACTCCCGTTTTTATCAAAACACCAAAAACCATTATGTTAAGGTCAAGTATCAATGTCAGAGTACAGATAACATAAAACAGTTAAGGTTAAAATCTAGGAACTACCAAGTATATACACGGATAAAAATAAAAGCCGTAGAACAGCTATTGGTATTCACCACCTTCCCTCATACATTTCAACTGCTACCTCCCTTTCTCCCCCACAAACCATGTTTATAAATCAGATTGCTAAAGGTGACAGAAGGCTCCAGAATAAAACACCTCAAAGAAGAAAAAAATCATGGCTGCTTGGTTACTGGGACATAGGCAGCAAAATGGTGCAGAGAGCAAAATATGGACAGAATGTTCTTAAAGCAAATACTGCTTCAAATCTTTACAAAACTGATAAGCAAAATACCAAGGTTTCTACAAAGAGCATTTTTTTGATAGTTCAGATCTAAGTGAACATACTGGTCAGATCAATATTCCCTTTCAAAGGAGTAATGCAACATGTATTTCAGCATGACTGTGCTAGGTAAAATACATTTCCTTCAAAGAAAAAAAAAGTATTTCTATTGTAGGAATAGAAGAAAAAAATACTGCAATAAAACTGCCAATCCTAAGTGTTTGCTCTCTGAAATTCTACACCACAAAAACTTCCCATGGACTTCAGCGCCAAAGTGGCTATCTTCTGGCTACAATAAACATTTCCAAAACCAAAAGAATTCTCTATGTTTCACAAGATGACTTCATAGAAAGAGACCACCAAAGACTTCCTCCTGACGGGCATTCTTACTTTCAAAGCTCAACTACGCCCAAACTGAGCCCAAGCTTCCAGTGCAAAGGCAGCTTCCCAGCAGCTCCTGAGCAGCTACTCACGTCCAAGYGGATCAACGCGATCACGTCAGAGTGTCAAAGGACTCTGCTCAACACCTTCCTCCCTCAGCATTTCTGAACCAAACATCAGTGTTTGCACACAGGATACTCTACACTAGGGCATTTTCTAACACGCAACCCTATGAAGCAATTCCAGCACTCTGCTCGCCCCGGCAGCAGCTGAAGCCTGTGGCAGAMCAAGCACATGCAAACATCTGCCAGCTCCTAGTCTAGGGTTTAACAACAGGAGGCAGCCTGGGGGCTCCTGATTTCTAAGACAGGAAACTGGCTCCAGCCAAGTCTGAAAGAAAACCATCAGCATCCTCGGCAAAGGAGCTTCTTGTTTGGATTGTGTCCTTTGATAAAAAGGCCCGCAATTTATAGTGTTCAGTCACATACTCATCATTGCTTGTACCATTTTCAAAGCCCTAAAAGGAGATCAGAACCGTTTCAAAGAGCAGTAACTGCAGAAGACAGAGAAGCACAGTGGGGAAATGTAAGCAAAGGACAAAAAAAAAAGTACTGAAGGGTGGCTGGAGAATTCGGACTTTTTGTAGGTCAGACACACATACCCACTTGTCCTACTTGCGTGACACATACCCACTGTACTCCACAGAAATGTTTAAATCAGGTTAAATCAAGGCACAATTAGGCTTCCAAAATTAACTAGAATCCTATGGAACACTTGCCATAGGGATACACTACCTCAGATATTCTGAGACTGGCCCTACAGCATCGCAGCGCTTTTCTGAACAGCATTATCATGCTACCACCAGACTTGTCCTCAGAACCAAGGGCCGGGCTAGTTARAGATACTGCACAACTGTCAAGGGAACCCATATGGCTCACAAGACATTATCTGTCTTTAGGGATGTTGACAGTATAGAAAACACAATTACAAAGGTTCAGACTATATTAACTGAGGACTGTAACACACCATAGGTACCTTTCACTACTACTTGACCTTGGACATACTTTTCAGGTTCCTAATAAACTGCAAAACATTTAACAAACCTTTGCTGCAATAGCTTTGATAAATAATAAATATTAACAACAATAAACCCTCTCTACAGTTCTGCTTAATATTAGCTTTATGCAAAAAAAATTTTCAAAACAAATTAATCTTCAAAAAAAAAAAAAAAAACACCTAAACAGATTCTGGTCAGTGGGCAAAGCCTTAAGAGTTAACACACACACCTCAAGCACACTGAGGGACAAAATAAAGGCAGCATTAAAGAAAAAATAACTATGATAGAAAATGAAGTTCCATGCACCAAGAATAGCCACTTTATTTAGAACTACATTGAGTTCTGAGCCTATAAATCTCAGATATTACCGCAATTCCATCTACTTCTAGTCTAGCATTATTTTGTAATTTGCCGTCTTCAAATTTTACTTGAAAATCAAAGAAGTCCCTGACCAAGACACTTAGGGCAGACTGCAAGTGGGGAGGGCGGGGGAAAAGGAGGGGGCGGGGGGAAACTGTGGTAGCCTGCACTTCTGTAACTGCATGAGAAAATCGGGGACTGCTCAAAAATGATACCGCAGCTACAACTGCAAAGAGCCACCAGGAAGTCTGCAACGTGCACTCGTGTCTGAGCACTTAAGCACGGAAAGCAGCCTGTTCTGGTAAAGAGCCTGCCTATGCTTAGTGCGAGTGGAGGGAGGTGGAGCAATACTGGCCAGGACGGATGGCAGCTGAAGATCAGAGCTCTCCTAAGCCGTGAGCACGCGAGATGACTGGGAGAATGACTCATCGTGCACTTCCTCACCTCCACCATTTGTGAGAGGCAGAGAGCAGCTGAAAAACACTAGCCTTGCTTAACATAAAACTGTTCATGGATTTCTTACATGAGCAGACCACTAATGCTTCAAATTAAGCAGGCATGCAGCATCAAAGGGGGGGTGTGTACACACACACACACACGTTTTACACATAATGGCATGACATAGACAGAACTACTTCATCAAGTGAGATACAAACTTTCATACATCCAGGACTGCTTTTAAATGAACAACTGAATGATAAATTGAAGTCACTGAGTAGAGAACGCCAAATTAACACTATTTTTTCACATGGATTTTTATTAAATTTGTTTTCAAAAACATCTTTGCTATTTTATTAGGGATGCTTTTTTTTCAGGCATGCATAATATAGGTACAGTATATCCAAATTTATRTAAGTAGTTCCTTTTCTTAATTTACATTTGTACCTAAAATAGTGAAGAGTATTCTCTATTTGTCATACTGCATCTGCACAAAAACTAGYTGAATTAAATGTAAAGTATTCTGGGATTTTGTTGTTGTTGAATCTGCCTTAAATATTCTGGGGGGGGGGCTAAAAAAAGAAAAAGATGTTTAAATGCACCAGGTTACTTCCTGTATTTACCATTCTGCCTAATAAATCACTATATATATATATATGCCTAGTGAACCAACAGACTCCGATCAGAACATCTTTTGAAGATTTGTGAGGATTCTAGAGTGTATGACTTTCCAAGAAGCCATGAACTCTTAAGTCAATGAGAACCAAACCATYTGTGAAGAACATCTATATGGTAAATATGTAGTTGTAAAGCCTCGTTAATCCTAGCTGAGTGAAACTTAGAGTTAGTGGGGCTCATTCACCACCATATTTGGAGTCATTCACCACCATATCTAGAATTGCACCAACTGCACTGGAGTTAAATAGAACAGAAGTATATGCAAGCATTTTTACACCTCCCCCCCCCAAAAGTCATCACCATCTACAGCACACTACAGGTGCCAAAGTTCAAATTGGCTACCGTACTTCAGGTAATAGTTCAGTGGGATGATGAAAGAAATTTCTATGATCAAACAGCACTGTGGTCCATCCTCAGCTTCATTTCCATTTTCACTTTACCCACTGTGTTCAGTGTTTCCTAGTGGCTGGAGGTCCCACTGAGGGCAACAGGAAACACCAGGCGAAGGGACTGAAGTGAAAATGAGGCCTGCAGGACCCAGGCCACTACCAAGAAAAATGCACACTGCTAAGACACAGAAATAATCTAGTATTTCATAAATGACATTTCAGAATCAAGGTGACTATGAAGCCAGGTCACAGTCAGACAGGAGTCTATGCCCCTTCTCTTCCTGCAGTGAGAAGGTCAAGTTCAAGACTAGGATAAAGAATGATACATGAAAGTGTCACTGTGACCATGACTGCTGAAGACACRGAGGATTAAATTAAATACTCACGAATACAAGAAAGTAGATACTCATTTCCATCTAGAGCTCTGTATATGAAGATGACACAGAAAATGTATTTGTTCATAAAATACTACATTAAAGACGAAGAATGGCATTCACACAAGAACTTAAGATATAATTTAGGAAACCCAAAATTACATGTTTCAGCTCCTTTCACTGCTAGTGAAAAGAGGATGAAACCTGAAGTGGGCAATTCAGAAATCTCAGCTTGACACCTGAAATATGATTTGTCACACTAATGGATTACACAAAACCAGATACTCATTTCCAAGAGGCGATGTCTAATTCTTACTTCCTTTAATTCATGAGGAAGAGACAAGAAGTTACTCTTTTTTAAGTTCTATCATCTAATTACTTCATCCTGCAATTATCTAGAAATTATGTACAACCGAAACAGCATTTCAATTTCAAAAGGTAACAAGGCAAACAATTATTTTCTCCATTTTAATAATTGCTTATCAGCTAGAAAGGTGTTGATTGTTTCCCCCGAAGGATTTTTTCCCTGGCTTGATTTTTAAGCTAGCAATCTCACATCCCAGTTCTTGGCTTCCCACATTTAGCTGAAGGAAACTCTGGCAACAAGCAGGATGGTGACTCAATAGGCTGAAATCAGAGGAGCAGTTTTCCTGGCCTGAAATGGAACCTAAAGCTCAGGTTTCAGTTTATGATGTCACCATTCAACATACACATTTATCCTAAGTAAATCAAGCAAGTGTTATTCTGATATC